TTTTAACAGATTAAAAGAAGTTTTAACAGATTAATTCAAGACTTTTAACAGATTAAAATATTGTTTTAACAGATTAATTAAACCAGCAGTTAGAACAAATCTCTATATAAACAGGATTGCTTCAGTCTTTTGAAATATACCTTTGAGAAATCAATCAATCAATCATAAGTGAAGTTTTTCAAAAAAGAATCGCGCAAGTTTTGTGGTGTTTTTGAAAGTTCTTTCTTGAGGCATTTTTGCATTTTTTTTGTGTGTGTGAAGAAACTCATACTGCAGGGACTACATAATCCGGGTTAGATTGTTCTGGTTTCTTCTTTTTCATTTTATTTTATTATTTGTTGAACTATGAGTGTCTGGAATTGTTAGGCATGGTTTCTGTGACTGGAATTTGGCTGCAGGTTAGTTCAAGAACTGGAAGTTGGTTCTTGGTGAAGGTTTAGGTGCAAGGACTGGAATTTTGGTCCTTGTGGTAGATTGGGTGTGTGATTGGAATCTGTAATCTGTAAAACATTCAATCTAGTGGAACTCAGCTGGAATTTGGCTGAGAACTGGACGTAGCCCTGGGATTGGGTGAACCAGTATAAATCTTGGTTGTATTTCTCTAAACCTTACTCTCTTTAATTCTGCTGCTGCCTTTATTTTAATTGCTTGTTTTTCTTGATTCAAGAATTGGTCAGAACTCTTAATCTTTGAAATAGATAATCTGTAAATTGCAAAAATCTTTCAAAGATCAATTCACCCCCCTTCTTGATCTCAGCCTTCTTTTCTAACAAAGCCACCATTTATCTCATTCCTACATGAATTGGAACCAAACAAGAATATTTGATAAAAATTTCGCATGACTGTTCTAGTGTATTTTGGATACTATACAATGCTCCACTCATAATTTAGAGTTTAGAAATAGATTTCTTGGATGCCAAAACCTAGAGTTAGCCATAAAAATCACTTAAATTGGATTTTTCTAGAGGAAGATGATGAAAAATGTGTTGAGAGGTGTTGTTGGAAAAATACGTACGTAAACAGAATCTTTGGGAAATTATATAAAAATATCTACTTGATTTTTAATTCTGAAATTTTGGTTATATGTTCTTCATATGTCTAGTTCGTGTGTGATTTATTTCAAAATTTTCTAACAAGTAGTTTTTCCATGAAAAATCTTAGAAGTGATTAGGTTTTGAGTTGGGCAAAACAAAGTTGCTATGTCCCCCCAGCAACTTCGAAAAATCATATAAGATCGAGATTGAAGTATTTTGAGATGAAATTTTTATCGTAGTTGTGACTGTATGTATATGTTAAGTATATTTAATTTCGTAATTTTATGATCATTATTTTATTTTATAAAAATATATCTTTGAGTACTGCCCTGGTAGTGGAATCTTCAAAACATTGTTATTCCTGTTTTTATTTCATGTTGCTACTGCTGCTGTTGTTTTATTTTATTGTTGTTGCTGTCTATATTATTTTGGTGCAGAATTTGTGGGAGTTATATGTTAAAATCCTTAAATGTAAGGAAAAAAAAATACTTGAATTGTGATATGATGTAATTACATAATGAGTTTAGGTATGTTTGATCTGCGATGAGATGTTGTATGTATATGTGTGTATATATGTGAGGGAACAATATGAGTTATTTGATAGCCGTAAATCCAGAATGATTTTTTTACCTAGAGGACTTTGTCGAGTCATAGTAAAGGAGTTTCGTTCCTTCATAAGTCTTTAGCATGAGCTTATTAAGAATGCTCAATCCAAGACTTTGTCGAGCGGGTGGAGTTGTTGCTTGTAAGTCTATGAAAAACAGGGGAATGGACTCTTCCAAGAGGTGTTGGTGCGTAGGAAAAGTATGGGGGTTGACTATAAGAGAATTTTATACCGTCTATTTTTACTTGGTGGTAATATGATAAAGTGTTATTGTTGTAGTATTGAAAATATGTACTTGTGGATATTATGAATGAGTTTTGTTACATTATGATAATGTTAGGTGAATTATATGATGACATGCATGATATGTGATGTGATACATATTTTGCTCACCCTTGCATGTTTGTGATGTTGGTTTTCACCTGCGATGATCGTATAACTTGTATTATGCGGGAGTAGATGTTAATGCAAATACTATTAGAGAAGCTTAGCGGTAAGGAGCTCGCGAGGAAGCTTTTTGGAAATTTTTTTAAGATATTTGAAAATGTCATTTTGAATATAATATAATAGTGTAGTGATTTTGAGGTTGCACTGGAAAATTTTGATATTAAGTCTCATTTTGATGATTTAAGTTAGTTGTTTGGATGAATAATATTTTATTTTGACAAATAAAGAGGTTTAGGATAAATATTTTATCAAGTGTTATTTGAGATAAAATAATTGTGTAAAAAAAATTACACGTGACATCTCGAAAGGGGTGTTACACTTGCTCGTGAAACTCTCACCTTTGAGAGAAAAGCATGAATGGTGAACCTTGTTAGTTAATGGTTACTCAAATAGTATGGGTTATGGGATTGGGATCATTCTTAAAGGTCCTAACGATATCATGTTAGAAAAAATTACTAAGGTTCAAGTTCAAGACCTCTACCAATAATACCGAGTATGAAGCTTTGATTGTCAGCCTGAAGTTAACAAAAGGAACGAGAGTCAAATAGTGGTGTTGTTGTAATAGTGATTTTAAGTTAGTAACTGGGCAAGCGAATGGAGAATTTCAAGTCAGGGAATAATCCATGTACAAGTATCATCATATGACTATGAATTTGATAAAATCTTTTGACCAATTTGAGATTGCCTATATATCCTAGGAGCAAAATAACCGAACTGATATACTTTCAAAGCTTACCAGCACAAAGAAAACAGAACAATATAAAACACTTTTGCAAGAAACTCTTGAAACCTTGAATTGAAACCACAAAATTGTCTTTCATATTGAAACCTCTTACCATATCGGAGGAAGCTCGAAAAATGAGAAAGATCAAATGAAATAATTTTGAAGAGTTTCAAATGAAACAAGGAAAAGTTGAGAAAAAAACTCTTCTTAAACCTTAATGCAACATTTGAGGAAAAATCCCTCATGAAAGTGGGTGTTAAACTTGTGAAAATACAAAATGATTCTCGAGTACAATGTTATATCCTTAACTTGGCTATGAGGGACTATGACAAAGCTTGGGAGCCGACCAATCCAAAGCTCATTACTTAAACCTCAAAATGCCAAATAAGCATCCTTAATAATATAACAATTGAATCTTTCATTGCCTTAATTAATCCGTTACACATTAAAAGTATTTAAAAGGGAATAATTAACATTTAAAACATGCATTAATTATTAACTATTCGTGAAACCACCATAAATTAAACTACGCATTAAATCTTGAATCCAATGAATTTGACCTCTCAATAACTAGGAAGACATACAACTTAGATCAATATTGTTCATTTTGATCTTTCATGATTTTGTATTCATATTATTTTATTTTCCAACAAAAATAAATTAAAATTAATTTATAAAATTTAGAGACCAATTTATCATTAAGTGGTTTTTCAAAAATTACCCTTACCCTTTTAAGATTTAAAAATTAAATAAAAATTTGATTTTTCAAAAACTATATTAATCTTTTTCGATACTATATTATGTCATTTAGATTTTCCAAATTTTAAAATATACACATAATTTTATTGAATTCTTAATAAAATAATAATAATAATAATAATAATCTTTAAAAGATATTCACCTCTTTTATTTTTCTAATTAAATACCTTTTATATTTATAAATAATATTATATTTTTTATTTTATTTAAAAATAATACACTAACTAAAACTTAAATGAAAGTTAAAAGTTAATTTATTAAAACTAATAAATATGATCATTTTACTAAAGGTAACGGATATAAATATTTATTTTAAAACTAGAAAATACAAATTACGAAAGTATAGTAAGTTTATATATATCGAAAAGTTTGTTTAGTTGGTATTCTCTTACAAGGTGAACTGTACCTACTCAGATATATGATTAATGCTATCATTTAGATTAAGATAATACATAATATAAATGAAAAATCATGAAAATAGGATCAATTATAAAAATATATGAAAAAAATAGTATAATATATTTAATTATTTATTTTAATATTTAAAAAATTAAATAAATTTATAATTATATAATATTTTATTTACATTAACATAAATTTAATAAGTAATTAAATTTAAAATTAATATACAAATAATATTTAAAGATAAATTAAATAATTGCTACCGTCCGTGTCCTCTTATATAACACAGTTACATAGAATAGAATTGGAACGTCATTTTGACACATCTCTTGTGCTGTGCTAGCTACAACCATCCGGTTTTTTTTTTTTTTTTTTTTTTTTTTTTTTTTAAGACATCATATTTCAACCATAGCAACTTTTTTATAAAAACATCATATTTCAACCATAGCAACTTCTTGCTGTGCAACTTCTTGCTGTGCAACTTCGTCCTGTGGAAAAACTTCTCCCACTTCAGTCATTTTCATTTTGCTAACGACATCAATCTATTTTATTTTTACATTTAGTCCATAATAATTTTAAAATATTAAATTTAATTTATTAAAAATATTAATATTTTTTAAAATAATATAAAATAAAATCTGATGTAATCTCTACTCTCATTTAAGTTAATAAGCAAAGTCCGTCCTATAGCTCATTTTAGCAGCTCATTTTAGCAGCAATGAGATTGACCGTGACATCATATTTCATACACATACGAATTATGGTTGAGGAGGTCACTTCTCTCCTATAAATACACTGTCTGTGCTCAAATTTAACTTGCATCTAAATCTTCTCTCTTCCTCCTTTTCCATTATCATCTCTGCCCTTCTAATTTTGTTCCTTTTATCTTCTTAAATATGATGGAGCAAACAGCTTATACAATTCTTATGGCCTTGGAGTTGACTTCAATAGGGATTAAATATCAAGGTTCCAACAACCCCTTTCAACATTCAACTCCATTTCTGTTGCTCTTCCTCACAGCTACATGTTGTCACCTACTTGCTTCCACAGCTGAAAGGGCCTTGCCAGCTACTATTTTCATATTCCACGTGTCTGGTGTTGTTGGATGTGAGACACTACTGTGGATCCTGGTTCTTCCTGAGTTTTTCTGGTGGTATCTCATCAACCTGCTCCTTTTACTTGTCGCCTCATTCTGCTTCAACTACAACCATATCAGTCACCTCATCCGTCGCACACCTCATGTGCCAAATGCAGAAGCTCATGTGTAACACTGAGATGTGTAACATGCAGATGTGGTGCTTTGCTCTGGGCAGATTTTGTTGTTGCTTATGTTTTTTTGTTAGCTGTGATGTATGTTTGTTCTTGCAATAATTAAGGCATACTACTCCCTCTAAAGAATAAAAGGATGGATACTCTTTCCTACAAGAAATCATAGTTAATAATTTTCAACATTTGTAGCACCTATTAATATTACTTAATATATAATATTAAATGGAATAAATGGTGGGAATTTATTAAATAAGACTCTCTTGTTAATGGTAAACAGGAGAGGATTTGTAAAAAAAGAAAAAAAAAAAAAATTGGACTATTCACACATGGACACTGGGAAGAGCAAATAATTCAAGCAACCAAATAGTAACTTATATATCTGTATGGTTAATTAATTAGTTAATAGAAGAATAGATTTGATCGAGTTTAGAGTTTTTCCTAAAATATCCTTAAAATATTGAAATTTGTTTAATCTTAGTTATTAATTAATTACAGAATATTAATTGCAGAAAATAAATATGATGAGTTATTAATCTTAGTGAAAAGAAAAGAAATAAGAGTTGTAAATCAATTACCGCGAGAATTTTTAATTTTTATAAGTTATTTAAGTAAATTTATGATTTTTTTTTCGCTTATGCTGCAAAATCAGAATTCCATTTTCGAGAATTAAGTTTCGAAAGAAAAATTACCACCGTAACATAAAAAAGTAATCAGAATTTATTTTCCTAATTAATATATATATATATATATATATATGTTAATATTTATATATATTAATTAATATATATTTTTTAATATTTATATATATTTAATAAATATAGATTTATATTATATGATATTTAATAAATACATATATTTTATATATTTAATAAAGACATATTTATATAATTATATATTTATATATTTTATAAATACATATTTATATATTTAATATATGTATATACTATATTTTTGTATTTGTGAAATTTTGATAAGTTTTTAATTAAATACTCAACTGAATTTTCACAATAAACACATCGATTAATGATGTTGGTATATAGAATTTTGTGAGATGTTAAAAAGCCAGAAAACAACCACGTAAATATCCTCTTGATAGAAATTCTTAATCAACAATTACATGACAAAGTAAAACTACTTACAATTTGATGATTAGTAGAGAGGATGAATAAAATATTATACCCTAATATTTTGTATTATATTGGATAAGATGAAGGGTATAATGGGTATTAAGTATCCAAAAAAATTTATCTCTAATCAAAATAAACAACTTTCTATTTACCCAATAACTAAACATTCAATTTTATTTTGAACTTATTTCTTTATTTTCATTCTATCCATTTCTGGTATAATCTTCTTTGTTCCTCATATCACTTCTCAATCTTCCTTAAACTTTTGGAGCCAACACACTCAACTTCTTTTCTCTAATAACCATCTTTTCATTTAAAGTATCACCCTCCACTCCTCCAAGAAAACCATTTTTCAAAAATCTACCAAAAGAGCATCATTTACCAATCTTCCTTGAAAACCATTTTCCAGGATCTTCCATGAATGAAACCTCATCCAACAATCTTTTCACGATATCCATTTTCGAGCTCCTTCCATCATTCAATTATTCTCATCTATTATCATGCTTGAAAACCTTCTCAAACATAGTTCACTTGGAAAAATTCATCAACAACCGTAATTGAATGTAATTGTTTCTCTATCTAAAAAAATCTTAAAAAAGTTCAGAGATAGCATTTCTGAACCAATATCTCTATACATTAATTATTACACTATATACGACCTACTCGGTGTCCTTCTCAACAGTTCAACTTCCATCAATGCCATATACTATAAAGTTTTCTAATACATATAACTCTTAACACACCCTTTGGGATGTCAACATACATATATAATCTCTGGTTAGTAATTCTGTCTACTATGGTTAGCCTCAGCTGCAAAATGTGCTGTTGAATACATTGTCGTTGGCCACAATGATATTTACTCACCACATCACAGTATTTTATTCAGGGCCATTTGTCTTCCTCTCATACCTTATCCATTGTATCATTTGGTGATACATGGGGAAGAACCACATCTGAATTACTGAGCATGTGAAGTATGGTATAAGTGTTGAGACCGCCACAAAGAATGTCACAACCCAAAAAGAGGGAGACGGGACAAGAGTTTCAACGAAGACTTTATAAACATTTGTAGAAAATTTTGGAGGCATTGCTCCATATGCTAGGAGGAAAAGATACCAGAAACCAATGGAACCCCAGATAAAAATATGTTGTATCAAGGTGAAGTAACGTATAGCAAGTGCCATCTGCAAGTTCACCACCCAAACCACGCAAGTGTACATTGTCACACCCAGCATATCCCTTCCGGCGGTTCTTCCCTCCTCATCGAAGGCCTGAGGCTCAATTGCTTTGGTGCAGAAGAAGAATATCATTGTGGCACTAATAAATCCATTAAGCATCCAACTCAGTACTAGACGCCAGCAAAAGAGGACATTCTGCACACCTTCTTGATATAGGATAGGAAACTGCCACATTAAACAGAAATAACAATGAATCATCAATGACTCAGCAGAGAAAACACGTTGATGCTTGTTGAATTTTACATTAGATATAATAACCAAGAGGGATTTATCTATTATGCAATATACAAGAGATTACTGTGTTTAAACAGTATTACTAACCTTTAAAATGGGCTTCCTAGGTGATGTCAATGTCAGGTGAAAATAGCAACAAGAAGGTGAAAAGCTAATTTGGTCTAGAGGAAAGCAAGGTATATAAATTTATGCAAGATTTTTGCTAGCTTTTCTTTACTTTTATTTGGTGGGTTTTATTGTTTCTTATTTAAATCTAAAACTATTTTTTAACAGGAAAACAATGAAATTTTTCGTTGTTCAATTATTCATACAAAACATAATCACACTGTTTCAGCCAGGAAAAGTGGAAGAAGAAATGTTCTCCTGTTTGAAAATTGTCATTTGAAGGGCTTGAGAATTTGAAACAAACATATTCTTAGATTATAAACACAACTTACCATCAGGCAGTACCTGGCAGATACATCCTGGTCAAGGACCCCAAGGGCAATTACAGGAAGTGACGAGAAGAACACGCTATACAGTGACAAAAACCAGTCATTGTATGCCGGCTGTCCAGAGAATGATGCATACACCTCATACAAGAATAAGGTGAACCCAAATGTGATATTCTTGTAGAAAAAATAGCATATCTGCCAGAAGAATGAACATGTCAATATAACTATTAAAGCTTCAGATCAGATCACCCTTCAGAGTCTAAATCTATAGAATGTTGAGATCGAGTTTGAGTGGCAATAGTACCATTGATGACATCCTCCGGTAACACCAATGTCCATGTACAAGAAGTAATCTTTCCAAATACTGGAACTGTGCAATTGCAATATCACTAGACATAACGGCCTAGGGGAGAAAGGATGCTAATCAAGAACTTTTACTGCAACAGGGTATGAACGTGAAAAATATATTTTAAAAATTTGAATAGTTTTCCAATTTTTTGGGTACCTGCATTCCTTCAACACCACTGATTCCAATCCCTATATCTGCTTCTTGAAGCATTCCAACATCGTTAGCTCCATCACCAATAGCTAATGTTGTTTTACCAGTTCCAGATTTGACCAGTCTAGTAACCTTGAGAGAGAACCAATAATAATAAAATTTTTTAAGACCTAGCTAGATTAATCATCAGAATTAACAAAATACAGTACGATGTGCCAAATAGTGGGATGCAGAACAGGCTTAAAAATACCAGAGCCTTCTGCTTCGGCGATGAGCGACAGCAGATAACAGATGCACAATGACTTGCAAGCTCTAGAAACATGATTTTCATATTATCCTCTAGAGCATAGGTTAGTGATTTTCCATCAATTATCAGCGCAAATGTTTGCTGGCAGGTCCCTCTGGATGCAAAAAGCAGTTGAGCACCTTCAGATAGCTGATGATGCACGCTTTCCCTTGATGCCTAAAACATGAATCAGCCTAAAAATATAAGCACTCAAATTTTTAATTATACAGGTTCCCTTTAGATGCTTTAAACTTAGGCGCAATGAGTTGATTTCTACTAGTCGAGGGAGCTAAAGATAACGCTTGCTAGTTAGAATTCAAACCGAATCTGGCAGACAGACCATATAGATGAATGGTGACAACACTAAGTATTCGGCCAGGTGAAAGTCTGAAAGATTGATTTAGAAGAACACCTCCCATCTCTAGAAATCCTGAGACACAATAGAATTCGTTCTTTCTGTAATCTCTAAACCAATACTTAACTACACTAATAACAGAGCTCCCAGATCCTAGGAGCTGTTTATGGTCTAATAAAAGAATGTTGACGTGAGTCATTAAAAAATTGCAGGGAGCTTGTGACTAGGGAGCTTAAGGAAAGAATTCAAGTACGAACATTTGGGTATTTCAATATTTGAAGGAAATAACATGTATGGGTAGCTGATTCACCTTGAGCAGCACTTGCACAAAAAATAAAAGACAAAAGGCAAGTTGCACAACTGACCATGGAAGCATTGGAAGGATGTGCCTAACAGTCAAGGGAGGGTGGTAATCTTGAGGCAGAATGGGAAAATTTCTAAAGGGGGGTGCTAAAGAAGTTTCAAACCAAGTATGGTCTGGCTATATAGAGACAGGGAGATAATACTACATGTATTCAGTTAACCAGAGATTGATTTTGGTAGAGAGATCTCAGGCACTCAAAATCTTAGAAAAAAACACCTGTGTTCATTCTTTCTCTAATCTCTAACTGGTACCTAACAGAAACTTAGACACCAAACAACCCCTTCCAACTGAGATAAAGAAAAAGAAAAGTTTTAGACGAAAAGAAACAACAAAAGGAAAGAAACAGAATAAAAAAAAAAACTATAATCTGGCTTAGGGGTTAAACAAACTAAGCAACAATGATACAAGTATGCATTGTCTTTTTCCATCTTTTGAAAAATGAAAAATTCCAAACAAATGCAGTTGTTGTAATTTCAATATAAGCCACTTTATTCACAAATCCTGAATGGACTAATCCATGAAATATAAATTCAATTGTCAGCATTGTAAAGCACATTCATCCAAAATAAACTCAATGAAAGATCTTAAGAGGACTTAAAATATTCTAAGAGAACCGTCTTGTTATATATACAATGTAAATTATATGGAGTCCTCGATATGCAAGCACCATCTTTGCATACAAAAACTGGATTAAAGACTAAAATTTATTTTACCTTGGAAATAGCCATCTTGTCTCCAACCTTTTCTAATTCTTTAATTTCTGGAGTCTCCAAATGAATTATAATCTGTTTCATTCCTTGTCTAAGCAAGCGACAAGAGAAACTGCATTTGTAAATTCTTGTCAAACATCTTGAGAAGTTATTCTCATGCAGAATTCAATATGAAAAAACCATAATCACAATATTATACCCAATATTGATGGCAGTCTCCATTTTATCCCCAGTCAAAATCCAAATCTTAATCTTAGCTTGGGCAAGCTTGTCCATACAGTCAGGAACCTAGGAAAACAATATTGTTAGGCTTAATATCTGAATTGTGTTCCAATGAATATATCTTCATATGTGAACTTTTTTTTCTAAACTACCCCATTTTGGAGCTTGTCCTCTACAGCAGTGGCACCAAGAAGGATTAGATTCCTCTCGATCTTATCCAATACTTCTTCAATCAGTGTTTCCCTGTCTTCTGCGACTGAATTTTTTACTTCAGAAAATTTATGATCAAACTCCTTGTATTCTTCTTCATCAAGCTCACGATAAGAAAGTATTAGGGTCCTTAGACCTGCATCAGCATATTCCTGCACATGTTCCAGAGTTTTCTCTTCAAACGTCATCCCATTCTTGGCAAGCCTTTCAAACATGACACTGCAATGAAAATGTGACTTAAGGCAAGGCTATAGATTGAATGCTTAGATAAGAACTCCAAAGTAGTAAAGGTCATAAATTATTAAATCACAGACCTGTCAGCACCTTTAGAGAGTAGAAAAATTCTCCCTTCTTCATCTTTCACTATCACTGACATTCGCTTCCTTGAACTACTAAACTCTAAAACATTAAGAAGCTTGTATGTCCTGCTAAATGAAATTGATCTGACCCGGTCAAAATTAATTACTTCACATGAAGTATGTAAACTCAAACACAAATAGCTATAAACAATAATTGAATTAGGAATAATATGTTTTTAAGTAATCATTCAACAGTTAGTTCTCACTTCTGTAGCTTATAAAGACTAATTCTTTAGTAATTGTGGAAGTAATTAAAACATATTAAAATAATGCTAAGACAATTAAAAATGTATCGTCTAATTGTAGCTAAGTAACAGGTAAGCAAAAAAATATACTAATTGTGGTTTTCCGAATCCCATACTATTGCTGGAATTATGTTCATCCTTTGTTCAACTAGCAGTTATCCTAATTCTATCACCAATCTCATCTGAGTTCGCTAGAAATTTAAGTCTCTTAATCATATTCCATCAACCCACTGATTTATTCTATACTACTACCTCTGTCCCTAAATATAAGACTCTTTTACACCTAATTTACACCTTTTAAGAAAATCAGTTTAGTTAATGGGACTTTCCATATCACCCTTTCCCACTTAATTAATTTTCCTCTAACAAATTAATTTTAAAGGAGAGAATAATAGCATTGTAAGCAGTCCTCATCGCCAATAGGAGAGAAAAGAAACTTCAAAATATTTATTATTTATGGATTAAAGAGTTGTAATATAATTAAGGGTACTTTTGTCAAAAATTAATTAATACAAGTAGTTATAGAAGAATCTTATAAAAAGGGATAATTTGTTTGGAAAGGGTCTTATATTTAAGTGCAAAGGAAGTAATTGATTTTTGTTTCCCCTCTTCCAGCTATGTTCGTTAAGGCATCATCCTTTACCCGGGCTTGAGGCAAGCACCAAAACCATAGACAGAGTTCTCTGCATTGCAATCTTAACAAGAGGAAAATGGAATATGACTTGATACTCTAGCAAGTAGAGATACGAGAATATGTCATACTATAGATTTCTAAGTTTAAATGCATTCAATTTATTCCTTTGGAGGAATATCATAGTTGGATTTTGTAAAGTGTCCATATAGGACTTCACAGATTTGTATATAATGGGGACTATATTTCTTAAGTGCTATATTTGTCCCCTCTAGTAGCCATGAGGACGTTTCGTTGTCATATGGCTCAGTGTTGTAGTATGTGACTCATTGAATAGAACATGAACTCATGAATATTACCTTCATAGTACATATTATTTTGTCTTAGCATCTTTTCATTTTGCTCTTCAGAAAAATGGAAAAAGCTTTTATTAAAAAGTTGTTGTCCATGCACTCCCACCACGATTTCCAATACAAACTTCCTATTATTGATTCCTTAACTAGTGCTCAATTTTGCTAATTTAAAGGTAGAGAATCATTTAAGAAATTTGGTGAGGAATCTTAGAATTTTGGCTGAAAGCTTAACTAAATCTCACAAAACAGACCTGTAAAAAGTGGACTACCCAGGTCTTTACTTAAGTCATATCTCCACTTGGTGTGGGACTAAATACCACCCTTGAGACTGCAATTAAGGCAAGCCCCAAAAATGCCGTAGCAAGACACATAGGGGTAATCACTGATAGAAATATAAGAAATACTAGCATCTGTTGGATCTAATTTTCTCTCTTTCACCATTGTTTCAAAGCAGTACCATCATCCATGACCTGCAATGTCACTATTCTACTGTTGAGTTCCCCAAAACAAACAAATGAAACTCCAAAAAGTCACATCTTCTGTTGTGTCTCTTATTTCCAACATAAACATCACTTGTTCACTGTGTCCTAATTTGGTTTGTACTGTAATTCGTAGTTGTCATTCACTGTTTTCCTTTTCTGTTGACATACCTTATGCTTGCCACTTTTCCCGGATGCACGCATACATTTGGCCCAACCGAATGCACTGGCTTCAGCATTTTCCCAGAATATTTTCAAGTATCTTAGGATATCTCATCGGATTATTCTTCTTTTATATTTTGTTTTGTTTCCTTATTTAATAAGGATCTTACTAATAATATCTAATTAAAATCAGATTTATTAGAATATGATTTATAGGCATACCAATCATGTGTATGGGAATAAAATCTCCTATAATTATTTGTATTTATTGCAATCAGCTTATAGAAAATGGACTTTGTTGAGTAGTTCATACACACTGCTCAGTATCTCTTCCATCTATTTTTGTCTCTTTCAACAACCACAATAAAGCTAGCTTTCCAACACTCTCCCCCATGCCCAACACTACCAAACTGGAGTGTAGCAATGCAGGACACCAACAATGGATCAAGGATAAACTCTAATATCATCTTAGAGCTTGAGCTTGACCCTTACTTAACCCCAAAAACTTGCTCAAGGTGTCCACCACATATGTACTCTATTTTATTTAAGTTGTACCTCTAGTCAATGTAAAACTATACATCACCCTTGAGGCTACAATTAAGACAGGCTCCCCAAGTGACCGCAATTAAAGTGGGCCAGGACTAGGAGTGGCTGCAAATTAGACATTTTCCAACTCATGCCCAGGGCTACTATCTTAGAGAGTTGCAATGCAGATGGTCGAACCATAGATCTAGGATAACTCTGATACCATGTTAAAATTTGGGCTAAGGACAGGAAGATAAGCATTTAGTTAATTTTTTCAATAAAAGTACCCGCGCATTAAGTTACACACATGGTAATTAATCTAGTTATATTAGTAAGAGTGTCCAAAGTGAAATGTTCAAAGCCTCAGGAAACTTGCTAAGTTTTACAATTTTTCTATGATTACAATGAGCAGCCCTCAATATAATAATGAGGAATTGAGAGGCATCATTCTTTTAATATATTATATTTTAATCAAACTACCTTAAACATTTCAAAAAAAAGTACTTCTTTTACAATACTAGTGTCCTTGAAGTGTCCTTTTATATAAAAGTATCAGTTTAAGTTTAAGTGTCAAAGCATACAACAGACTCAGGTCAAGTGTTTAAGCCAACAATTTATTTGTTGGACAATTGGTGAGAGAGAAGTATCCAACACCAGTTGGATATATGCAAGTGAAGTGCCAATGTCAAACAACCGTGCCTGACACTCTGAAAACTCAAGTAGGAGGAGTTTCCATGCTTCATAGATTCTTCAGTCACACCCACACTCACATTGAACTCACTGAATTCGCAAAAGAATCCTTAATTTCAAACATCATAATCAAATAATAAGTAAATTTTTTTTATCACAGTTTCACCAACTTTTTCCACCATTTATATATTTAAACAAATATCACAGCATCAATTAGACTCTTTCCTTCCAACACCCTTTTTCATATTGGTTGAAATTCATGTGCAGTAGTTCAGGAATGGGTCCCAGCAAAAGGGGAATGAAAACCACTGTAAATTTGGTCACAACAGATGGTGCCACGGTGAGAGATGCCACCCACATTTAATGAGATCCACATGAATTTTAATCGATAAGAGAGATTTGTGACTGTAATATTACCAACATTTCCCATTATAAGTTTGTCAATCCAATAATTGAAAAATATCAATATCAGACTCCACATTTCAGGGAAGCTAATGATTTCACCAGAAACAGAATGTAGAATTGCTACTTTTAAATATTTGTTTCGAAAAGTAAACACTAGCATCACATGATAAGTTACTAGGTAATTGCATGTGCCTTTTCCAATGAAAATTAATCCAAAAGTTTTTAAGTAAACTGCACAGAAAAATTGTAGAAGTCAAAATATCAAAATCATAAACAGACAAGGCAATTGAAAATAACTGACCTTTCAACTTCATGGCCAGAAACAGGTTCCAACTCATACATTGACAAACAAGTCTGGGTCCTTTTGTAGAATTTAAAACCAACTTCTCTTGCAGCAATCACAAATGCTGCTTCATCCGGAGATTCAGCCTCATATGAGACATTTCCTGTTTCTTTATCCACTTCTGGTATGGCAGTATGACAAATTGCCAATAAGCGAAAAAATTTCTGTATAGCATCTGCATTAGGCTCATTAACCCAGTTTCCATTCATTATCCTTTCGTCTGTAAAGTTAAAACCTTTGATAGGTTCTTTTCTACCAGGAGAGTCCCTGATTTCATTAGATTCTGAATTTAAACCATTAATATGCTCATGAAGTATAGGTGAACCATTATTTCTTCCCATCGATTGCTCAACCTCTGTTAAACCACGACCATAAGCCACTCCAGCAACAGAACATTTGATGAACTCCATTGAGTTGCAGGTCAAAGTTCCAGTTTTATCAGATAGTATTGTGTCAACTTGGCCTAACTCCTCATTCAAGTTTGAAGTACGAGCACGAGCTGGTTTGTCTGTTTCTTCATAGTACATGTGGATATCTCGATTGATGAAGATGCTCTGAAGGACTTTGACAATCTCTATTGAGAAATACAATGAGATAGGAATAAAGAAGTTGTACAACATTAAGGCTGTTAAGGAATGAAATATAGCAGCTGCAGCTGCTCTTTCCGGATCAAAGAAAATTGTGGACCTATCTGGTCTTAGATACCATCTTTTCATTAACCCATTGTCCAGGTCACCTTTGGTTGTGATGCCAAAGAGAATAGATCCAATAAATGCAATTAGAAATAAAACACAAAACAAGAAGTAGATAATCTTATCCATCTTCTTCTCAATTTTGCTTCTTTTTGAAGGAGGATCAGTGGAGTTTTGAATAACCTTTGTGTCATGACCGGTAAAGACGACTGCTCCAAACACATAGTCTGTATTGCGTAGTTTGGAGTCTCTCAGAAGAAGTTGCTGAGAAGAAAGTGGATACTTTTGTGCTCCAAACTCCATGCTCCCGACAAATGAATACAAATTTGCATTTGGGTCTTCACATTTGATGACAGCTCTAAAATCACGGAATTTGAAGTCCTCCTGTAAGGAAGAAGTTACATCTAGCCCTTGTTTCAACTTCAAATTTGTTTCACCATCCAAGTTCATGGTCTCAACATAGCAGACTGCATCCTCATAACTGGAGGAAAGCAGTAGGAGGTCCGCGGGGAAGAATTCATCCTTTATTATCTTCACTATATTCCCTACTCTCAGATTCTTCCATTCAGTATATTCAAAAATGCCATCACCTTTATGCAATATAACTCTTCTATTGTTCACCTCAATATCCTGTAGAAGTATTCCGTTAGCTAAAATATGTACCCTGAATTGATAGCTTGCCTAGTCACCTATCCTTTCCCCCCCCCGCCCTTCATTGGCTTGATCCATGCATTTCATACGCCAGGAAAAAATAAAATCTAACCGAAAGCTAGGAAATATTGTAGTAGAATTCAGAATAAATACACATTGTTTTGGAATTTTAAATATCTGACCATAGTGTCAATACTTTTCAATTCCAGCAAGAAATTGATCTATCTAGGAGTCTACTCTTTCATCAAATATTGCCACTTCATCCTTTTTTCCAACAACTCATTCCATAGATTTAAATGACATTCAACCAGTTGCAGGTCATGAAAAATGACATTCAATTTCTGTCAAATGGAATCTTCCTTAAACTTTCCTAAAACACACGCAGAAGCTTTGTAAAAATTATTGATATTATTCAAGTTATTAAACACTGTATGCCCAATAGAGATCATGCATAGTTGTAAATCCTGGACAACTGAAATACTATAACAGCATCACTACCATTTTGAATTTTGTGATAGTTTATAAATCAAAATGATAAAAAAACAATTACAAAAAAAAATTAATGACACTCATAATTAACAGCAAAATGGCACAGATGTCTTAAAAAAACATTCAACTAAAAATCAACAAAAGTCAAGTATAAGTTTCCTAGATTGGAATTATCGATTATTAATCGTGATCTTCCTAAAGAAGTCTTCTATATCATTTTCATTACTATTGCAGCATCCAATTTCATTTCTGACAATTGAAATCCTAAAAATAGCTCCCAAAAAAGCCTTAATGTATCTGTTCAGAGGGATATTTCGGTATCAACATATAGGACAGCTATAGCCTTGCTATTCAGCTTGCTAAGACCACTTTGCTAAGGCAGCCCTTGTAGCAGGTAAGGGGCCACTTTGCTCATCTATGCAGCTATAGTGGTGCTATAGCTCTCTATTAAAAGCCCCTGATTTCATAGACAGTGAGTTGCAAGATAAATGTAAGTAAATTCAAACACGAGGAGACCACAGACCAATGTGAAGAAGAGAAGACCAGCATAATTCGATTTGACTCTACACAGTCAAGCTGCACGGTTGAAGAAATTTACTTTATAAAATAAATTTCTCAATAGGATAAAGCAGTCTGCAAAATCAAGTACCTGCTTTTTCCTGCGCCAGTCTTCAATACCCTCTTTCACCATAGTTGCCCCAATGATGATAGAGAGTGGAAGGATAGCACTGACAGCAGTATAAGGAGTGAGCTTTGTGAAGGCCAAGATTCCAGCCACCAAAAAATAGAAATTAGCCACCCTCCTAAACTGCTCAAAAAGTGACTTAGGCAAGAAAGTGGCAACAGTATATTTTGTGGACCTAACAGAATTATCAGCATAATTCGAAACCCCTCCCTCAAACCTATCAGGTTCATTACAGAAAACCACCCTGGAATGACCATGTCCCCCAATCCGTGAATGTTCTCTCTTCAAGGTTGTTTTACCACAAGCAAATGAGTAGATCTTGCTAAGCTTAAGCTTTATCATACTTCTCCTTCTCCCACCCCTCATCTTTTTCTATCCAAGAAGTATAAGTGATTGATCCAAGTGCCAAAATGATCGCAATAATAATGGCAGAAAGGGCCAATAAGGTGGACTGATTACCCTTCCCAATCCCTGAAGCAAAGTCCCACACTAGCAGACAAATCGGTAACCTCGCCTAGTCTTAAAAAGCAACTTCACCAACCACTATGCTGAAAAAAAAAAACTGACTTTAACTAGTCAACAAACAAAACCATCACAACCACACAAAACTCGGAACCCCTTTCGGCCTTTTGTCACAAAATTACGCAATCTTGAACACGAAGGAACGGAAAGTGGAGAGTGGAAGAGAAACAAAAGGTCAAGTTTAAAGGACAAAACCTATGTTCTGTTAGGGACAAGCAATGTGAAGTGTTCTTAGACAAGAGTGGTGTAGTTTACGTAACTGGGTCACGAAAAGAAGAAGGAAGTTTGGGATTTGGCATGTTGGGAAGGTGCATTTCATATCAAATGGTGCTATTCTGTACCTTTCTCGAACAGCACCGTGCCAAGAGAAAATGGTGGTAACAACGTTGCTTTTGTCGGCATAGAAGCAAGCACCAAGAGAGAAAGTAGTAACGAATTTTCTTCAGATATTGATAAACCCAAGACCGCTTTTGTTTAAATGTTTTTAATGATGAAAACATTTTGTTTTTAATTTTAATAAATTATAAATTGATTCCATTTTAGTTTTTCGTTATTTTTATTTTTAATTTCCAATCAGCAACTTAAACTCTGTTATTTATTAAATAAATGAAGTTTTCATAGAAATTAAAATCAATTTGTCATATTTTATAAAAAATAAACAATTTCCAATTTTTCTCTCAAATTATCACACGCGACAACTTTATGTGTATACTTATTTCTCGGAACTAATTCTATACATTTCCATAAAGTTCAACTCATTTAACGTAATAAAATAATACCTAGGATATGTAAAAATAAATAAAATAAAAAATTTATGCTACAATGATATCTCATGATTCTATTGGATTTATGTCACGAGAATAATAAATATGAAACATGCGTAGTAATATGTAAAAATTACTTAAATAAATTTATTTTAAATATGAAAGCATGCATAATACACGTAAAAAATACTTTAATAATAATAATATTATTATTATTATTATTTTAAATATAATATTATTATTACATGAATCAATTTCTTGTTTTTCGTGTTTTTTTTTTTATCTTCTCTTTTTCATTTCCTTGGAAAACACATAATGTAACACCATATCTTTTGGTCTCCCTATAACCAATGTCATCGTGAAAAGAAGTGAGTTCCTTTATAATATCTCAGCAAGTTAATCATTGTTTAAAAGACCTTTACTTTCAAAAAATAAATGGAAGTTTGTGGATGGGAGCATCACTGCACTTGCACGCACCAATCCTCTCTTTGAATCCTAGAAAAGATGCAACGTAATGGTGATATCATGGATAATCATAATAGTCAATTCGTGAATTGCTCGAAGCACCACCTATATCGATATGACTAAGGAATTATGAGATGATCTTAAGGAAATATTCTCTAAGGGTGATCATTTTGGAATTTATTATTTATTGCAGGAAATTCACTCTATTAAATAAGGAGAAAGAAATGTCTCCAAGTACTTTACTAACATCAAAGCTCTTTGGGAAGAATTAGAGTCTTTGAGACCCACTCTTCCTTCTGTTTTTTTCTATGAAATGCAGTTGTGATCTAGTCGAGACTGTGGCTAGGCATATGAAATTTGAACACATCATATGTTTCTTGAAGGGTCTTAGAGATATCTTCACCAGTGTTAGAACTTACATTTCTTATAGAACATCTACCTAATATAAACTATGTGTTTCTCCCTAGTGATACAGTAAGAAAAACAACTCATTGGGCACTAACAATTTGAAAACAAAGTCTCCATAAATGTTGTCATAACCAAGTCAATTGGAGACCATAAATTGGGAAATTGAATGACAATGGATGGAAACCTTAGGGAAAAGGGAGATAAAGAAACCCAAATTTTGGTAAGCAATGTACTTCTTGCAACAAAATGAACCACATAGTCGAAGAGTGTTATTCTAAGCATGAATACCCTTCTTGGTATAAACAAAGAGGAGATCATAGTCTCAACAATAATATGGCCTAGAATGGATCTAATTAAACTGAGAAAGAATATGAAAACAGGATTGGCGACGATAGTCAACAAGGTAATGTATAATTTTCTCAAGAATAGATGGTGCAGCTTCTCAAGATATTGCATAATTGAAAACCTGCAACCATAAAAAAGGTTAATGGGTTAATTGGTGAGACTTCTTCTAACCAAGTCAAACAAAGTAAAGACAATATTGAAACTTGGATAGTTGTAGAGCGACTGATCACATTACATATTTGAAATCATACTTTACAACGTTTCATGAAATCATACCAATAAAAATAAAACTCCCTAACAGCACCTATGTTAGTGCAAGGTTTGTTGGAATCATTGTTTTTTCAAACCAGTTTTTAATCAACAATGTTTTTCATGTTCCAAAATTTAACACGAATCTTATCTTTGTTCAAAAGTTGATCAAATGTTTGAATTTTTCTCAAGATTATTGTTTGATCAAGGAAAATGCATCATTGAGGATGATTGGTCAAGCTAAGTTGATAAATGGATTATATTACATCCAAGAAAAGCAACTTGAAACCAATATAAGTAGTATTGCTAGAAGAAATGAATTCTGCAATACAAGTATCAAGAGCACAAATCTTTGGCATCTTAGGCTTGGACACCTCTCTACAAAGATTCAACAGAAGCTAAGTAATATCTTCCCTTATATGAGTTTCAAAAAAAGTAATGTATGTTATTACTGTCACATGGCAAAGCAACATAGGTTACCCTTTCTCCTTAGCAATTCTAGCTCTAGTTATATTTTAGAACTAATACACTTGGAGATATGGGATCCATTTAATATTCCTTTTGTTCATGGCCACGAGTTCTTTCTCACTATTGTTGATGATTCTAGTATATACACTTGGATCTACCTTATGCATAATAAATTTGAAACTAGAGAAGTTTTGAATAAATTCATAAACTAGGTTCAAAATTAGTTTAATAGAAGAATAAAAAAGATCATAACCGATAATGACAATGAGTTCATGTATGAAGATCTGTATAATAGGCTTGGAATTATACATAAAATAAGTTGTGTAAAGAGTCTTCAACAAAATTCCATTGTTGAGAGAAAACATCAACATGTTTTAAATGTTGTATGTAGTATTTTATTTTATTCCAATATTCCCATTTGTTTTTTATATTATGTCATATCTCATACAATGTTTCTGATAAACAAAATTTTTACACCTGTTTTAGACATGAATTCACCTTTTGAAATGATAAATAATCGCTCTCCTAGCTTTAGTAATCTTAAAATATTTAGTACTCTTTGTTTTGCCTTTACATTAGAAAGAAATAAGACTAAATTTGACCCTTGTGTTGAAAAATGTGTCTTCCTCGAGTATAAGGAAGGTATGAAAAGATATGTTATGTTACATAAAAATATATTTTCCCTATTAAAGGGAGCATAAGGAGAGCGACAATAATGAACATAATGAAGATGTTTTTAATTATGATCTTGAATTTCCTACTAAAACCACCATCATTGATACTCAAACCAACCCATAAATGATGTTCAATAGAATATCAATACTTAAACCAATTCTGACATTAATGCTCAACATGATCACATACACAGATCAAGCAGAACATAAAGAGTTTCTTCTTACTTATAAGACTACCATCACGAGGTAAATAATAGTATGAAAATCACTTTTATTGACTACAAAATTCTTTATTGTCTATCTTCGGTCATCAACTACAACAAACTATTGGCCAACACAAAGAAAATTTGCTCTCACCATATCCATTGATGAAGAACTGAAAACATATGTTATCATATCTGCAAGATGGGTTAAGGCTATGAAGAAAGAGCTTGAGGCATTTAAATAAAACAATACTTGGATTATAACTGATTTGCAACATGGAAAGAAGCCTATTAGAAGCAAATGAGTTTATAAAATCAAAAGGAGAGTTGATGGTACTGTTGAACAATATAAAGCCCCGTCTCATGGCTAAAGGTACACTCAACTTAAAGGAATAAATTATTGTGATACATTTTCACCTATTGTGCAACCATAGTTTGCTCTTGCTGCTACACAAATATGACACATTTAACAAATGGGCATTAATAATGTGTTTTTGTATAAAGACCTTGAAGAAGACGTGTATATGCTACCCCCGAATGGTTTGAATTTTGTAAGAAATAATCAAGTATGCAAATTAAAAAAGGTCTTTATACGGTTTGAAGAAGGCTAGTTGACAATAGTTTGCTAAGCTCTCTTCTTTTCTAAAAAATGATGGTTACATTCAATCTAACTATGATCATTATCTCTTTGTCAAGAAAACTTCAAATAACTTCATTGCCCTTGTTAGTGTATGTCGATGACATCATTTTGGTAGGAAATTATGAACACGAAATCAACCTCATAACCTTATTGATGTTTCATTCAAAGTCAAGAACCTTGGTGACTTAAAATTCTTCCTTGGTTTCGAAATTGCAAGATCAAAGGAAGGGATTCATGTATGCCAAAGAAAGTATGCTCTTGATATTCTTGTAAATATTGAAATGCTTGCTGTCAAGCCTTATGTCACACCTATGGTAAAGGACATCAAAGATCTTTCCAATGAAAACAATATTATTTACAATGTTGATTCCTATCAACGTCTTATTGGAAGGCTTATATACCTTACCAACACTAGCCCTTACATTTGCTTCGCGATGCAATTCCTCTACCAATTTGTTCAGAGACCTACAATACATCATCACAAAGCTGCATAGAGGATCTTAAGAAACATTAAGTTTACTTCCTTACAAGGTTTATTCTTTCCCAACAATTTCAGCATTCAACTCAAGGGGTTTAGTCACTCTAATTGGGCCTCATACCCTGAAACTTGATACTCCACTACATGTTA